TTCACCTCTGCTCACATACAAGTGGAGATGCCAGTGAATGAAGCATGGGTCAAAGGGAGACAGAACAACTGCAGAAAGAAACTTAGAAATTCCATGCCCTGCATAGTGGACCATCGAAAGATGGGGATTAAGCAAAGATCACTTTCACGGGCAGACTCTCCATACAGCATATGCTAATCCTGGACAAATGTTTTACAGACGCAAAAGAAAGAATGAAGGGGTCTCTTTTATGCATGTGTTTTTCCCTCTAAAATAATTCCTTTAAAAAGTAGGCCTCTCAGAAGGAAGATTGAAAAAAAAAAAAAAAAAAAAAAAAAGCAAAAATAAAAACTAAGGCCCTTTAAAACTTAACTATTAGGAAACTCAGAAACAAAAGAAAAGAGGTATGTGTATTTGCCACTCCTACTATCTTACCACATTCCCGACATTTGTGACTCTTAAAAGTCTCTTTCTAATAATATGCCTCTCAAGCTCTCCGGTCAGTTTCACTTGTTTATATTCCTTGTATAATTGTCTGGCCTCTCTCTCTGCAGGTCAGCCATTCTTCAGGCCCCCTTCAGGTCTGCAAAGCTCCCCTGTTACCCAGCTCTGCTCTGATATTTTACACTGTTCATAGCTTATAGTCCACAGAATTCAACTGTCTTTTTTCTTTTTTTTTTTTAATAAACTGCCTTAAATGGTTGCCTTATATATGTGTGATGGTCCTGTTTTTTCCTATGAGACTAAATTCCCTGAGTGCAGAAGGCATCTTACTGTATTTCTGTTATGTCTCTCACCCTGCTGACACCTGGGGTCTAGATCAACAGTGGTAAATCATGCACCTGATAAAACTGAGCTGAAGATTTCAGTGCTACCTAGCAGTTGCTAGGGCAAGGCATGGCTGCCTTTCAGAAATGCCTTCCTCAAGACGGTGGGGTCCATAAGCAGTGTGCTTGCAGCTTACACAGACTTTTTCTAGCGGGAAATATGGTATGATGATGATGATCATCATAGTTAACATTTACAGAGTTCTCTGTTAAACACTGGCATGTCGGCTCGGTGCTAAGTGATTTCCATGCTGTAGACATAACTAAAATAAACCTTCCAAAGCTCTAGAAGAAATTTCCACCCTTGTTCCCCAATTCAGCCTGGATGACCAATGAGGGCCAGCCTGGATTTCCTCACAAGAACTGGAAAGAAGCAACGTTCCTGCTCACCCAAAGAAGCAAGTGAACACCAGCCTGCTGGTGTCTCCACCTCAGACATCGAAGAGATTAAATTCAGTGCATTTGATTGAATTTAATCTCTCGGCCTGGAATTAAGCAAGAGTTCTCTGTACTGGCCATAAAATATCTCACAGCATTATAGCTTTTGTTTTCCTTCTTAAGCCACAGGAATTATTAAAGAAAGTTCCCAGACTACTGATTCTATGTGGTTTTAGATGTGGTAGAAAAAAACTAACAGTTATTTGGGTAGAGAACAGATGTTCAATGAAGAAATCTCTCTCCATTTTGGGACCGGGAAGAACTGTTATCTGCTATAAGCTGTAGATCATAAGTATTGACATTATTTGCACTGGTGTTAATCATTCTAATCTTTATTAAGTAGCACATTGCCAAAATAAAACCAAACTCTAAAAATTTCAACTCTACAGCAGAGGAAGAAATGAAAGTTCAGTTTACTAGAGTCAACATCCAATTCAAAAAAAATCTAAAGCATAAATCTTTTTTAAATATACTGGTTAGTATACCCCTATGTATCTAGGTATCTATGTTTCTATCTAAGTATCTATGTTTCTATCTGCACACTGGTTAGCTACACATCCAGCTTCCTTACTGAATTTTTTTTTCTTTTTTTTTTATTGAGATAGAGTCTTGCTCTTGTCACCAAGGCTTCAGTGCAATGGGACTACTCAGCTCACTGAAACCTCTGCTTCCCTGGTTCAAGCAATTCTCCTGCCTTAGCCTCCTAAGTAGCTGGCATTACAGGTGCCTGCCACCACACCTGGCTAATTTTTATATTTTTTAAGTAGGGCCAGGTTTCACCATGTTGGCCAGGCTGGTCTCATACTCTTGACCTTGTGATCCGCCCACCTCAGCCACCCAAAGTGCTGAGATTACAGGTGTGAACCACGGCACCCGGCTGAAAAATGTTATATTGATGTATCTACTTCAGTCACATGACTTTAGAGCAGGCGTCTCCAAACTTTTCACACAGGGGGCCAGTTCACTGTCCCTCAGACCGCTGGAGGGCCGCCACATCCTGTGCTCCTCTCACTGACCACCAATGAAAGAGGTGCCCCTTCCTGAAGTGCGGCAGGGGGCCGGATAAATGGCCTCAGGGGACTGCATGTGGCCCGCGGGCCGTAGTTTGGGGACGCCTGCTTTAGAGAATTAGGAAAAAATGTCAAAAATTAAGGCTTCTATTAGAGAGTTCCTTGAACTGGCTGAAGGTTGCCTGCTAGGCAGCATGATACTTAGAGCAACACCTTTAACAAGAATTTCACCAGGCTTGGAGTTCTGTGAATCTCATTAGAAACAGGCATAACATGACTCTTAAAGACCTTCATAGTTTACCAACAGCCTTCAAACACATCATGATGACGTTCAGATTTCGAGAGCAACCCTTGCAGAGTAAGTAAGGCCATTCTCATTTTGCAGATAAGCAAGTGAGGTCCAAAGAGATTAAATGACTGTCACTACAGGAGTTAGGATGGGGTATCAACTTTTCTCGTGGGATTTCAATGCGTCTGGGACAGTGCAAAGGATTTCAGGTGAGGACTCCTATATAGCCTGCAGCTATCTTTACTCACTAAAAACTACAGTTCAGAGAGGTTCAGTAATTTGCACAAGGTCATGAAGCTGGTAAGGTCATAAAGCTGGTAAACGTGTCCAACACAGTCTGTTTTCTCCACTGCGGTCTAGGTGTTCCCTAGTCAGGAAGCACAGAGCAAGCAATTGAAACTCAGGACTTCTAACCCCAAATGTGAATTCCTCCATGAAGCCCTCCCTGGCCAGCACTCCCACCAGCCCTATATTGAGTGAAGCTCCCCTACTACAATCATTTATTGAACTCTTCCACTATATCATAAGTATGTGTTCATTTCATATAAGTTTGGGTCCCTAAAGGCTCCGACCATATCTTAAGTTTATAACCCTCTTTATTAGATCTTACTCGAAAATAGGTACAATAAATGGTTGGTGATTGAATAAATGGATAAATAAAACCCAATATTTTCTTGTCATGTGTCTGGAAATTACAAGGTATGCTGTATATTTCTTTTAGACAATAAGGCAAAAATGCTTTTTAAAAATCTATGGCAAGAACAGAGAAATTATGAACATGCTTAAGGCTCTTATTAGCAATGTAGGCCAAATTGTGATAATATAGGGCTTTCTGAAAAATTATGTTCAAACTTTTACAAGGTGTATAAAAGAAAGCTTTAGTTACATAAATACACATGTTCTTCTCTGAACTTCACATTCAACCCAAATTCTTCTCTTTTTTTTTTTTTTTTTTGAAAAACAGCATGCTGGGGTCACCATTAATGACTCAAGTAGCAATGGGATCAAGATGGAAGAAGCAGAGTCTGACTAGGGTATTTCAGACTCAACTGGGTTGTGAAATATCAAGATGTCTGTGGCCTCAACTTCTATACTAGGACATTTTTTTTTCTTTGTTCTCTCTCTCCTTCCACCCCGATCCTCACTCTTTAATTTACAAAGTGACTAAATTCATTTCTCTGTGGCTATGTTCTAAGGAGCTCTTTACCATACCAATAAGTAAATCAGAAAGGCTTCCCAGGACAGTTGGGGGCCTGTTACTCAGGTGCATGGAGAATTTTGTCCGCTTAATGGGGCTCTGAAAGGTTGCGCCAGGCTTCAAAACTGAGTCCTCTCCCGGAAGTACAAGCAGGCCTCAACAGATATTTATAGCTGGTACTCTCTTTGTCTTACAATAAAATATAAGTCAAATCCTGATTCAACACTGTTAGAATGCAAAAGTCTGCTTAACACAATGACAGATCCACTCATAATTAGAGAAAATCAATAGTTTTTTTTTTCCTTAAACCCTGACATTCCCCTTCATTATGTTAATGGGAATCTGACATATATAAAATACTTGAGGTCAGCTACATGTTTAACAAACATAGACAGAAGAAACAACCATCAACTAGATTAGTAGTTCATTATGAGAGCTGAGTCGTCCACACCAACAAATCTCAACTGAGCCTAACTTTTTGACAGTAACAACTCACTTGCCCAGGATGAAATGAATTTAAATTATTCTAAATTTCAATGAATGAAAACCCCAGCCATCACTGCTCTCACTATTTTACTCCTTTGTTCAGATCTAAAAGAGACAAATCACAAGAAAGCAATGAACCTCTCAGATGTGCAAAGAACTTTTCCAACGTACATACCTGTCGCAGAATGCATTCAGCCAAAGGCACACCCGATACTGATCCTTAGGCCTTTCTTATCCTTACTCAACAAATTAAGTTTCCTTATACTCTCTAAAAACGTTTTGAGCCAAAGTCCAGAAAACTGAAGTTATATATATTTTATGTAAAAATGGAGACACTGGAAGCTCTTTTAAACACGCTTGCTTCTTTGATGGGTAGTACAGGAATCACAAAAAAACGTCTGGAGTATAAGGTGAAAGCATGAAGGAGATACGCTCATAGAATCCAGCAGAGGCCAAGTTACTATTTTCCAAGAAAGAGAAAGAAGCAGCTGGCTCTCTGAGAGACCTGGGAACCACATTTTGTTAGTCTGAGTAAGGCAAATCTAAGGTCTTCTGTGACAACTTCTGATTTTGATTAGCTCGGTCCCGCTCACTGTCAAGTGAAATTAAAGCATACCAAATGGACAGAATTAACACTTACCTTTTCAGAAACTATTCTCAGAAAGGAAGATGCTAGTCTTTGGAAAATAAAGTAAATGAGTACAGCAAGTATCCCGCTGATGAATTTAAAAGCCGGACTACAAACTAAAAGGAAATTATAAGCATTCCCTTACCTGTTTTGATATTGATGGCAAAAAAGTTCTGAGGATTCCCACTTGTAATCCGGTATGTCAGTTTTTCACTGGAACTGGAGTCAGGATCTTCAGCTTGAATCTGAATGACAGATACATCCTTTGGAGAGTTTTCCATGACAACAGGATAATATATAGGTTCTGAGGTCAGCGGGGCATTGTCGTTCACATCTTCAACTTCAATGTAGACCTCAATGGTGGAGTAGAGTGGAACAACACCCCTGTCTGTAGCATACACTGTCAGCCAGTATGACCCTGTTGTCTCCCGATCAAGAATGTCTGCGGCAGTGATGACCCCTAAGAGAAAAAAGAGACAGTGTGACTGCCACAGCAAAAGGAAAGACACTGAGTCAATAATCCCAAATTTCAAAGGACTGCACTAAACAATCTTGGCATATGAAAAACAGCCAAATCCATAACATAAGATTAAATTGTCAGTCTTTACATAAGAAAATGATTGATTGTAAGACCATATTAAACAGTTCTTCTACTGTTTATAGAGTATAATTACACTGACAAATAGTTTATTTGAATTTGGAAACAGGTATCTCTCAAACACACATGCACGTGCATGTGTGCATATGTACACACACACACACACACACACACACACACACACACACACACACACACACACACACACACACACAGAACAGATGATATAGGGGAATGAGAAGAGAGTGGGCCAGGGGTCAAAGCACTTCTCAAGTTCCATGGCAAATCAGTGTAGTATCAGGTCAATATCTCCATTTGGCCTGATAATGAATTGACTTCTTTTGCAATAAGAAGTTCTCCTAGGGTAAATTATTTTATCTGTTTATTTCAAAAAAAATTTTTTTGCCTGTTAAGAGTGAAAACTATTTTGCCTGCCACGATATAACCCTCCTTCATACTCTTTCTCTGAAAAATCAAGTATCACAGTTATTCCACAATAATCCGAGAAGTCATGTCAACACACGTTCTGAATGAGTTCCATCCCCCTTAAGAACTCTACAGAGGGTCCTCATCAACTCTGAGCCACTCTGAGACATGCTGATGGACAATCATTGTAAATCAGGAGCACGAAATGCCCATCTTTCCCATTTCATGGTTGAAATCAGCACCAACCAGGAAATCGGATGGCTGCCTAAAAAGCCAGAGAAAACACAGTGCTCTTGTCTATCTTTACAATCCTTACCCAACGACCAGGCTACAGAAACTTACCACAAGGACAGGATCATGGGCCTCTCATGATGGGAAAACTCTGGGCTCAGTCTATAAAAACTGTAAAAGTAGTCAAGGGGCTCATAGAAAGCGTGAAATTCATGTAAATCCTTATACTATAAAAGACATTGTGAAAGGAGTCAAGAAACAGTTCTCTAGCGTGGCCCTGAATTCTCTATCCTCTGTATTCCTGTTGAAATTTTGTCTAAATTAGGCATATAACTTAGTCTATAGACGCTGCATGAGCAAACTGCTAAGTACAGCAACTGGAAGGGAGGAGGGCATCTATCCAGACACGGTTAGGCTGGAATACTCCGTTTCCTCAAACTCAGGACAGATAAAATACTTACAGGGTGATAACCTAATTGATGTTAAAATTTGAGCTCTAACATTTTCCATCAAAGAACTCTGCGTAGTGGTAGGCCATGGGACAAAAGATAATCTTAAATACTCTCAATGGAAATATGTAAAGCAATAGGTTTCTGCAGAATATGGCTGATACCTAGTAGTTAGAAGAGAAATGTCAATCTGTCATTAGAGGAACAGATACTAGACAGTAGAATAGGATGAAAATGAGGAGAAGCAGAAACAACAACAAGAAAACTATCATAAACACGGTGATGTGTGTTCATTGATTGAATGAATGAAGATCACTTCATAAACTGGGTTGACATTGCCATCTAAAAGACCACCAGGATGACTAAATCATGGAAAGGAGAACTTTATTGGCAATCAATATTGGTTTGCAAACTGGGAAGGGATAGTGTCCGGCATGTGCTGAAGGTGCTGTCTTTTCCAAGAGGAGAAGGCCAGGTTGGTTTTATGTCTCACAGGGCCCATAGCACACAGCGCAGTCATACATATTCAGCAGATTTGGAAGAAACATCATACATATTTATGAGAAGAGGTGAGCGTATTTGCAACGGACAAACATACATGCAACATACATCCTGTGTTCACTTTGAAGCAGGATTTTAGCATTAACATGAAGTGGAATTTGGCTCTTTACATCAAAAGATGAACTAGAGGATACAAAGACAGTTTATGCACAGACTTCATAAGCTGGCTGATACTGGCTTAGGTCTGCAGTAGCTTATCAGAAAGGAATGTTTGTGAGACAAGTCCTTAGTCCAACCAGAGTTTTAGTGGTTTGGGTTGTAAATCAAAGTTAGGGCAATTTGCCTGGCAGCTCTTATTGTTAGAGAGTTTAGTGGGAGTGTGTTTATTCCTGTAGGAATTTAGAAATCTGCCATGCTAGCTGGGCCCCGAACCTTCAACCCAGAGGTAACTCTGTTTTTTAACCTTAGGGTTCATCTCAGTTGATAAAGGCCCATCCATTTTGTCTCTCAGACACAGTCAATTGTCAACATGACATTAAGTCCTGTTGAACATTAAGTTCAACAGGACTTAATGTCTGTTCAACAGGACTTAATGTCATGAGAGCTAGAGACCTGGCCAGGTGTGAGCACATCTGTGAGTACAGGACACCAGCACATCACAGTTTCGTAGCACTCTCTGAGCAGCCAGTGCTATGAGCTGCCACCCAGGTAAACTGGAGCTCTGCAAGTCAGAGAATGGATAAATGACAGGGAACTAAGTCTCTGGAATGGAAACCAAGAGTAGACAGGTGTGAGCTAGAGTGAGGGATATAGGTTGCAAAAAAAAAAAAATGCTCTGCAGGCTCTGCAAGGCATCTCTCACTGCTCCACGAGACCTGTTCATTCAATTCACAGGCATCCACTAGACCCTGTGCTGCCATTGGAGGAATAGAGATCATGAGACAGTCTCTGCCCTTAAAAGACTCCTAGTCCAGTGGAGAACACAGATCTTTATTAAGGAGATCTTTACTGAGGGGATAACTGCATAGCCAACAGCCCGAAAGGCTAATCTGATTTAGAACGATATACTAGGAAAAGCAATGACTCTAGAACCAGAAGGGGGTGGGAGGTGGGGGAAAGAGCATTTACTGAGGATCCATAATGTGCTATGAGACCTGCAACTCCACTTCCCTATAATATATATTGTATGATTATCTTTTAAAGATAAGGGTATCATGCTGGTAACTTGTCCAAGGCTCCATAGCTAAAAGCTGAAAAACCATAGACTGTCTGCCTTGAATAACCCAGTTTCAAATATGGAATCCTTTATTTTTCTACCCAATTGACCAGAGAAAAGATTTTCAACCCAAGCAAATCTAGTTTCCACACTCATCTCTCAGTGTTGTGGTGATCATTAAACGTATACCAAGAGTCTGGCAAAATGTATGTAGCATAGCAGATGTGAGCACGTGTTAAATCTTTGTGAACCAAAAGCAATACCATAAGCATTCTAGACGGTAATCAATCCTAAGGCAGGGGATGATCTTGAAAGATGAGAAGTTGGGAATGAACTGTCATGCTAGATGTTTTTTGTCCTCTGGCCATCTGCTATTCTCACAAAGTCTTTGTGACACACACACACACACACCCCAAAGCACATATATAGAGAAATTTGCAGTCACAGAATTGCTTTGAGATTCCTGGAAGTCACTAAATTATTTATTTTCTTCTACTTGTCAAACAGGAAGATGGTATATCACAGCCTTTGGACATTATTTTGAGAAATCCTTAGATAAAATGTATTCACTAATACAAATTAAAATACATGGGTGGATTTTACCCTGTTTTACTCTTAATGAAGGATCAGACATTTTCCTTAAAAATTAGAATTCTCTCTTCTTAAAATAAAAGATGTCTATGGCTATATATTTACCAAGTAACCAGAAGTGTGAATGAGTATCTCGGAACACAATGTTCAGATGTCAGTTTTAGGATCCAAACATTTGAGGACAAAATGAAAGGAATGAGTCTGAAATGTGTTAATTATTATGAGTTTCTTCCAAGGCTCAAAATGAATCATACTACCACCACTGATGTCCAGTGATAGCATTTCTTCACACCTACTAATCATGGTCAGCATGGTCACAACTAAGAACGTAAATCCACATGACCTCTTTTATCAATGAAAAATTCACTTTCAAGATTGACCAAGGAATGCCAAAATCATATCTTGAGTGCTTTTAACATTGTGATAATTACAATGCATTGTATTTTTTAACTGAGGTATGTGTAGTATTATAAGCTACACATATCTAAAGCAAACAATTGGTAAATTTTGCTTTTCATGAAACCATTACCACAATCAAAATAGCAAACATATCCACAATCCCCCAAAGTAGCCTCTTTCTCATTTTCAATCCGTTGCTCCCAACTCTTTCTACCCTCGGGTAACCACAGATTACCTTTCTGTCATTGTAAATTACTTTGCATTTTCTAGAATTTTATAGAACTTAAATCATATAGTATGTATTGTTTTTCTGTTTTCTTTCACTCAGAATAATTACTTTGAGATTGATGCATGTTATTTTGTGTATAACAATAGTTAATTCCTTCTCATTTCTTAGTAATATTCCATTGTGTGGGTATACCACTATCTTTTTAACCATTGACCTACTGGTGAACATTTGAGTTGCTTTCAGTTTTTAGCTATTACAAATAAAGCTGCTAAGAATACGCATCTACAAGTTCTGTATGGAAATATACTTTCATTCATTACTCGAGTGATAACTTAGGGGTAGAATAACTACATCACAGGATAGGTGTGTATTTGCACCATTTCATATTTCCACTGGGAGTGACTGCGGAGAGTTCCAGTTGCTGCACATCCTTGCTTGTGGCTGACATGGGGTGCTCAGTATCTTCACATTTAGATGTTTTAATTGGTATGCAATGTCATCTCATTGTGGTTTTCATTTGCATCTTTCTTATGTTAAGCATCTTTCAAAGTGCTTATTTTCCACCTGAATACCTTCAAAATAAAAAAGTTATCATAGGTTAAGTGTTCAAATGTTTTACCTGTCTTTAAATTTGCGTGGTTTGTTTTCTTGAGTTTCAAGAGTTCTCTGAATATTCTGGATAAAAGTCCTTTATCAGATAAGTGATTTGCTAACTTTTCCCCAGTCTGTGGCTTGTCTTTTCAATCTTATAATTGTAATGTTTCAAGAGTAGAAATCTTATGTTTTGATATCAAATTTATCAATTTTTCTTTTATAGGTC